TTGTAAGCTTGTATTTTGTGTTGGCAAAAGTCTCTTGTCTTCTTGTGCTTTGGGGTATTTATAGAAGGTGAGAAATGGCTTCAAAAGGCTCTCTAACGGTCAAATATTAAATGCTGTCAAAACTAGCCGTTGGCCTGTCGGACGTCCGAACCACCTGTCGAACGTCCGAATCCTGCGTCCAAACCACCTGTCGGACGTCCGAACCCTGCGTCCGAACGTTGACAGAAAGTCATCAAATCTTTGCGAAATTTCTCGGACGTCCGATGCGATCGATGTGCGTCCGAGGCGTGCGTCCGATGCTTCCGGATGTCCGATGCTTCCTCACGAGCGTCCGACAGAGTTTCCTTCTTGATGTTCTTCATCCTTTCGGACGTCCGATAGCTTCCTTTCGGACGTCCCACATAAGTGCCCTGCTTTTGCTTCTTCTAACAAATTGCTCATATAAAAACATTAGCCCAAATCTACATTTTGGTTTGTTAATCATCAAAACCAAGGATTGATCGACCAAGGTCAACATATAATTAACTAACACTAGAGCAAATAATTATAAAATGACTAAATTGAGAAATAAAATATGAGTCTTCACAGTTACCTCTGCTATATTAGAATTTTCAGTAGACCAGTCCCAAACACCTCTTTCATCAAAGGCCACATCTTTACTCACCATCACTTTTTTTGTCACAAGATTATATAACCTATAAGCTTAGAAAACTTCACTGTAGCCAATAAATACACATTTCTTCCCCTTATCATCAAGTTTTTTCCTTAATTGATCATGAACAAGGGAATAGATAATACACCCAAAAACTTTGAGATGGCCAACAAAAGGTCTTCTACCATTCCATACTTCTTCAGGAGTTCTTTTGAGAACACTTCTGAAAGTTCACATGTTCAACAAATAAATTGTACCAAAAATTGCCTCTACCCAAAAAGAGTTTGGCATATTTTTCAGTTTCAACATAGATTTTACCATATTTATAACAGTTCTATTCTTCCTCTTTGTCACTCCATTTGTTGTGAAGTGTACCTAATAGTCAACTGATGCTATATTCCATTTTTCTCAAGAAAATCATCACACACCAAATATTCTTGATCCCTATCAGTTCTCAAAATTTTAATCTAATAGCCACTTTGCTTCTCAACAAAAGTCTTAAAAATTTTAAAAGTGTCATAGGCATCAGATTTTTGTTTCAAAAAATACATCCGGGCTTTTCTACTGAAATCATTAATAAAGGTAATAAAATACCTACAATCACCATTAGAAGGAACTTTCACAGTGCACAAATACGAATGAATAATTTTCATTGGTCTTCTAACCCTTCAGGATTTGCCTGTTTGAAAGACAACCCTGTGTTGTTTTTTCAAAACACACAGATTACAAACTTTACCAGAATTTCTAATACTAGGTTGCCTACTAATCATTTTTCTATTAGCCAAAAATCTCAAACCGTCAAAGCCAATTATTGTCATCTATCATCATACTTAAACAAGAAAAATTGGTAGTACTCAATTTCAGTGAAAATAAGCGATTTGAACTGGCAATCATTTTAATATTTTTTTTATTAAAAATGGTGTAATTACCATTCCTAATGCGAATATCATATTTTTTTTCTTAGACAATTGATCCATGCTCAACAAATTATGATGCAGCTCATGAACATAGAAAACATCAGAAATAAAATTAGTAGACCCATTTTTTAAACTGATAGGAATTTTTTCTCTGACAAACACTAGTAAAATAATGTTATTTCCAAATTTAATTTCACCATCGACAGATTCGTCAATCTCAAAAAATAATTCTTTCTTGCCAGATATATGATTGTTGTAACCCATATTTAAATACCATTTTTTTTATCAACCACATCAACAATATTACAAGTTAATAATAAAATTTTAGATTTTTTATTATTATCCTGAACCTGATTGTCAGTAACATTAATCTAAAAATTTCTGTCTATAATTTTTCAAAATTTGTATTTAAACTGTCTATGGCTCAATTTTTCACAATTATAACATTAAATTCTCTGTCCAAAATTATTTTAAAATTATATTGATTAAAATTATTTTCTTTGCCAAAATTACCACCTCTGCCTCTACCATGACTACCTTTAAAATTAAAATTATTACCTCTATCGCGTCCAAGATTTGATGTACCTCCTCTGCCTCTATTATTGTTGCCACGACCACCTCTGATATTTTAGCCACCTCTATTATTGTAGCTTGGATTCATCTGACTGAATTCACTTTGCTCATTTGCTTCATTATTACCTCTCAAATGCAACTGCATTTGTAATACCTTCTCTATTATATCCTTCTCCAGGGTATTTTCCAACTTTTTATTCATTCTTTGCTCATATAGAATTAATGATTCCTGCAATTCTTCAATACTTAAAATTTTCCTAATCTTTATCTCCTGAATCACAGCTACTATATGATTAAAAATCACAGCTACTATATGATTAAAATTCATGGATAGGGTGTTGAGAACTTTCACAATAAATGTTCTGGCAAGAACGTCATACTGATTAGGTGCGATCTTGTTTTTAATATCTGACAAACGAGAAAAATATGATTCAATAGACAAGTTTAAATTTCCTTTTTAATATCATCAAATTATTTTGTTGGATCCTGTTAATCCTTTTGTATGTCTTTTCCAATATATCCCAACGCTCCTTTGCTGAGTGAGCCGTAGTAATTTTTTCAAAAATTGATTCAATATATCAATTAATTTACATGCCTTGAGATGGGTTATCATCTGTTTTGGTCAAAAATTAAATGTCACCTTTGTTTTGAGTTTTTGGATAGTACAAATAATATTAAAATTAGGGTTTACCATACTTCAATCTACCGTAACTTTGATACCACTCTGATGGATCCAAAATAATAATCAAACATAAATCCACAGGAACAATCACAAAAAATTTGATATATGAGGCAAAGGAAATTTCTTGACTAATCATACGAGGCTACGGCTACTGTACAATACAAGAAAAAGGAAACAACGAGGCTACTGATTCTTCAAACGAAAACGGCGGCAACAATACTAATCCCTTACTGGCTCACTTCTATTATTATTACTAACAGTCTAACATTATGGGCCAAATCCAATGTAGCTAACTTTACTAATTTACAATGCAACGTATTGTACTAACCAATATATTAATGACACATGACCTCAACTAACATATAACCAAATAAACAAATTACTAAACTTGGTTTATATTGTCCTACAAAAACTCTATGTAAATAAAAGAGTTGTAAGTTGGGTCCATCACTTAAATGTGTTAGACAACCAAACAGTGAATTAATTGCTTCGTCTTTTATGTCTTAGTTCAATAAGGATGGGCTTCTGCTAAAATTGCAGCCACTTCTCTTTCTATCTTAACTTCTCTCTATTTTTTCACCTCTTCTCAAAAAACCTTCTTCGGGAGAAAGTCCAATCCATGGATTTTTTTTTTGTTTTTCTAATAAAGTCTAATAAAGTTTTTCCTAAATTTTCTTAGTAAAAATTTTTCATTTCTCCTAAAAATTTTTAGTGAGAATTTTCGATTCTTCTAAGGATTCCTATGAAGATTTTTGTATTTTTTCATTTTCTAGGGATTCCTTATTTCAATTTCCTTTGAGACCACATGATAGTGGTGCAACTTAATCTTTCCCAACATTAGTATCTTGGCAAAAAAAGGGTGCGTAATTCAATTCAATTGGCCATGAAAGCTGAAAAATGGAAATGTGCAATCACCCTTAAAGAATACGCAACTGACCTTATTAGAAAAGGTAAAAGAAATAAACAATTAATTCATCATTCCTTCAAAATAAAAATCATAAGTATTTCATCTCAGGAATACTTTACTACCAAAATTTGTAGGCAAAACTGCACTCGGCTTTAAGGAATAATATATATTTCGGGAACGAGCAATTGAACTGCACCCTTGTATGTAAGGATTTGCTTGTACGCCTTGTGGTTTGCAAATATCAATTGCACCATAAGAAAAATATCTTGCGATTAATAGACAGAGCTCCCGTCCGGCTGCAGGGAAAATTTTTCGGGGTGGTGCTGCCCGAGTTAGGAGTACCTTCGCCGGTGGCAAAAGGGGCGGAAGACGAAGGACTTGGATGCAAACTAATTCGCTTTCTATCACTTGTTTTTTGATTGATTATTTTAACTGATTATAGATTCTAATTTTGGATAATTAGTTTTTGTAATATTTTCGATTACTTTTGTCTTCTGATCATGAATTTTCTAATCACTAAAAAAGTTAAAATTCATAATCACCCAAAAGAGTAGTTTTTGCTTATCATTAATTTCTGTAATCAGATTTTGTAAAGTCTAAAATAATCAAGAATAGTGCCATAGAAACTCAATTATTCAACTTCAATTTGTAAAGAAAACCGTGACATACAAACTAATGAAAAGGGCAAGTAGTACTTCTTCTTAATTTCTGCATGTTCTATGCTTTAAGTTAAATTGAATTACAAGGGTAATAAATATCCAAAATAAGAAAAAGATGGACATCACTATATTGATCTCTTCTTCTTCTATAACGAGTAGTTTCTTAGTTTTCAAAGCTACTTTAACTGAACGTAATGGACCATTACTGGAGAAACTAATGAATGAACGTGACCTGTGTACCACTTGGCATAGTAAATCAATTAAAGAGAGATTTTTTTTCTTTTCTTTTCTTTTTTATTGGTATGAATATTTTCTGAACTCATTACGAAGCACAGTTTTGGCAGTAAATATGCTGCCATGCAACCAGATATGCATATTAAAATTCCTTCACCAATAACAAAATACTTGTCCTGAACCAACATAAACAGTTTGCAAACTTGCACACTGAAAACTCAAATGGATGCCAATATACTCAATATTCTTGCATACTTTTCCATTTTCAGGACAAAGTATTTATCAAAGAGAAAAATTTATGCAAATTTAATCCAAATGAAAGGGAATCAGCAAAGTAAATTAGCAAGAAGCCTCAAAGAGGGAGACTCAAACCTACCTAACTCCAAATTATGACCAAAGTGAATCGTATGGTCAATAAAATGTACCCATGCAGAGATTTCATCCAGTTGCCAACGTCAATTGGAATTTATGACCAAACTTCACAAAGTTTAAGTTTGGACCAAAGGAGAAGTTTCATATTTTAGATAAAGCTATCTCCTCTTCTAGGTTGAGAATATAAACCCCTAAACTTGATTTATATCACCACTAGGTGTACTTATGACGGACCAAACTACAAGAGCTCTCGTCAAAACACATTTTTATCCATTATAGATAGAAAAATGTGAACGCCAAATATTATCATGAATAATAATTTAGTAAAATAAGTAGTTTGAGAGCTTCTGCATCTTACGAATTTACTAAATTACAATCAACACATGCACAATCTCTTCATATATTTAATTTTCTACAAACACTTGAAATGTAGGTCTATACAATTTACCATTATTTCATAAACAAGGATTTTAAATACAATACTATAATAATACACTCCAAAACACCTAACCATCTACATTAAAAGTTTTTCACACTATCATAAAAGTTTTGAAAGATATCCTCAAAACATCTAATCCATACGTATATTTCCATTGCATGGGCTCATTTTTTTCTGGGCTTAACTAGGGTTGGATCACTCTGAGTCCAACTTTATTAATAGGGAATCAGGTCCAGTCCGCTTTTATTGGCCACTTTATTTTGGTGGGAGTGGGGGACGGCAACGGGTATAATAATTACATGGTCTTTCTGGTGGGGGCCGCAAACAATAGGCGTATCGTATTTTGTTGCAAATTGGATGCCTTTGTAATGGCCCATAACCTATGGATCCACCGCCTCCATCTTTAGGAGCAGAGTTTGTAGGAGAACTTCCGCCGGTCGCCTTGGGAGCACGACTTGGATCCCCTCCCATCATGCTACCCCCACCTTGCCAAAACACAAAACAAAAAAAAGACTATTATCATAAAATTAGATATCACTATCAAAAGGGCAAAAGTCAAGCCATTTTCCTTCTATTCTTTATTTTGATGGAAAAGATTATTGAATCTGCACTAATGACAGAAATACATCAAATCAAACATAACTCAAATACATATAGAGCTGAAATTAATAGATACCACAGATTTGAAAATCAATTTAAATAAATATAACATTAATGCTCCAACATATCATATCTTCTATCCAGATAAATCATTGTAACCCAATAGGTTTATGCATTTTTCTTACAGTAAAAAATATGATTAAAAACTGGTTCAACTTCAAAGAGAAGTTTAGATACGATAATAATAGATGGAGAAATTGCAAATTTGAGAAACTAGATCTACAAAATCTCAAATTTCACAGAAAATGACAAAAACTGAAAAAAAAACCCTCATAAGGAAAAAAAACTTAGGAGAGAATAAAACTTTTATTAAAACAATTTAGGGAAGAAGAAACTCTCACTAGGAGATTCTATGAGAGAATAATCTATCATTAGAAAATTCTACAAAAGAATTTATTGCTACGATAGAAACTAAAAAAACTTAAAGAGAGGACTCCCTTTTATGGAAAAAGACCAAATTTGTCTGATCTCTCTTCCATGAAAAAGGCAGAGAAGATTTTGATTGGAGAATTTTTAGAGAGAACGAGGAAAATAGTGCAATTTCCTTCTACTCTAATTCCCAAATCAACAACTTTCATGCATCAATGACTTGTACCATCATCATCATAGTTTATGGGAAGTGTATCCAATTTAGATGAATGTTTTCGATTAAAGCAAACTCACTGTTGAGCAATTAAAAAAAAAAAACTGTGAATAAGAAAGATGTATACTTACCGCTGCCGCCAAATGTCCGTCCAGAGAGAGCGGGTTGGACTAAAAGGATGGAAATCATCAAAAGCCAAAAGAAGATGAACATAGGAGAAGCAAAAGTCTTGCTCGTCATTGTTTATTTCTATGTGACTGTCTCATAACTTGTACAAGCTCTAGTGCTGTATATATGATTGAGATTCGGAGAAAGATTTGAAAGGATAAGGCTACGTGAACCTTATGAAAAAGTCTTGTGTAGCTGCTGTTTTATTTGACCACATATATCACAAATGAAATTAAAGACTTGCATGGGTCTTCTACTCTTTTCTGTGGCGTCCTTCTGTCACACCATATTAGACGCCTGTGGACTAGAAGGAATCTGTCCTAATTCCTTATTCTGGAGTCTTGTGCTTGAAAGAGACTTAAGTGAAAATTTTTGAGGTAAGCTCAATTCGTCATGAAATAAGAATTGTTGTCAATTCTCTTATAAACTTTGCAAGTGTCAAGTGTAATCTAAGAGGAGGAGTGAATTAAGTTGTATAAAAACTAGATAAGTTATGGCTGATTTTATCTAATTTTAACTAACCAAATTTATCTAAATGATCACAAACTAAAGCGAGTAAGTAGAAAACAATAAAGATGAGGCAAGTATAGCACCTAAATGAGCAAACAATGAGCAATAGATTAAATAAAGTAAACCAAATGAAATGGTACTCTCATGATACCAAGGTACACTTCCAAGCTTCTCCAAGATCGAAGTTGATCCATTAAAAAAGTTCGTCAAAATTGATGAAACAATGCCACTTTGTACAAAGAAATGATTACCTTTACTCACATTAATCTCTCCTTAGTTGAGTGAAAAGGTTTTACACTTCCTATATATCTAACCTTTCCAAGCTAAAATTGAATTGCTCACAATTACAATGAAGAATTTTACAAGCTTTTCAACCTCATAAAAAACTACAAGTGAACAAGAGAGAGAGTATTTTTTAAACCAAAATTACTCTAGAGAGCTCATAATTGATATAGACAAAAGTTGTTAATGAGTTTAGACTTTATCGTATTTATAGGACCCCAAAAATTGATCGAAAATGCCCTCTAATGGTCAATCATTTAATGCAGAAAAAACGACTGTTGAAAGTTGAAACTATCAGATTTCTGATCGTTATGCTAGCGTTCGATACAATCGTTTAATCAAGGATGAGAAGCTTTCTTGTGTAGATGTTCAGATGGCCAATGCAAGTTCTCCTTCGTCCAAGAGTCCGTCCGACAGATGACCAGAGGATTCCAACTTGGCTTTTGAATTTTTCGAATGGTCGATAGGGATGCCCTTCAAGATTTATATTTGCTCTTCCATCTTTGGACAGCCGATCCTTGTTTCTTGTGTTCAAAACTGTGTCTGAAGATGGATGTAATTCCTTTGAAGGTTGCTTTGTACGTCCAATCCTCCTGGGTGTGTTTGAAGCTGCGTCCAACTGATAGGGACACCGTTCCTTTCTTCTTGCTTTTCTTTGTTTTCCTTTTTCCCAAGTGATTGAGCACCTGTTCTATCAGAATTTTCATTGAAAAATATTAATTCAAATAATCATTTTAGCTTGTTAATCATCATAACAAAGGATTGAGGGACTGAAGTCTTCAAAGTTATTGGGGATTTTGAATTCTTAATTTCTTAGTACACATGTATATATATGGCTATTAGATGTAAAACTATTGGGTTGAAAAAAAATGTGCTCCATCATCCCGTATGTGTTCATGGTAATTGGGAGTTGTGGGATCATACTGGTGATGATATTGAGGTATAAGATCTATTAAATATCTTCTACCTATTGTTTTAGACGTTTTATCTACTGTAATTCCTCAGTTGATAAAACTTGGACATTTCACTTAAAAAGACGCTTGGATTCAATTCACTAGCACAAATTTTGGCCTAATTTCCAAGGATGATATACCTCTGAAATGGATAAATTAAGCAGTCCATTTAGTGAAAAATGCGGATGACTTTCATGACGTTCGTGGATGGCTGACTTTTCTAAATCCAAATCTAGCGCTTTCAACTGATTGAAACTTGTGCGATCTCTGCAAAAATGAAGGTACCGATAATCGCTAAAGTGGGGCTAGGATCATTCTATTTTTCATTGGATATATAAAAAAAAGAATTGAAGTTTTAAGTTTCAACTAGAGGATGGTTGTCCACTTTCCAATTTGTGTAAAACTCGGACGACTTTCATCACGTTCGTGGATGGCTGACTTTTCTAAATCCAAATCTAGCGCTTTCAACTGAATGAAACATGTGTGGTCTCTGCAAAAATGAAGGTACCAATAATCGCTAAAGTGGGGCTGGGATCATTCTATTTTTCACTGGTTACTTAAAAAAAAAACAAGAAGTTTGAAGTTTCGACTAGAGGATGTGTGACGCCCCCACTTCATCCTAAAGCGAACCAAAGGGTATCCACGGGACGCCTGCCTAACTATCGCCAGGACTCAAGCAATTTCATTCAAGCTTAATGCCAGACCGAACGTCACAACAAGATAGAATAACATAAACACAATAATGCGGAAGCGTTCAAGCTTAACAATCATCCATTATCCAACCCATACATGGGGTGTTCAAAATACAACTCAAATCCAAAATATACGTCAGGTCCAAATATTACACTTCAATTCCAAAAGTACAACCCAAACCAAGGGCATAGCCAAAATCTAATAGAAACCCTAAAACAAAAGTACATCAGGAGGGTTTCTCCACATTTTCCCGAGATTCAATCCTGTTAAGGAAAACAAATCTATAGGGTGAGCAAAACGCTCGTGAGGCCAAGAACACACATGCAAGCACGTAGTTCAAATAACAATCTCAATTACGAGCTAAACAATAATATATTTCAATAATTGACAATTCACCAAAGGAAATTTATCAGTAACAATTCAAGGATATAGTAGCTCTCAGGAGCTAAGTTCCACTTGCTTTGTCGATGTCACTCGTATACCTTTCCCCGATGACACTCCGTCAACTGGGTCGGTATTTCCAATCCGTAGATCACCACTTACTTCTTTCCGTCCACCGAACACCCACTCGGGCCCGCAAGACATGTATGAGGCAATACTCCACGAGTATGCCAAGCAAGACCTCTCAATAGGTCGAGCTTATTTGTTTCATGGCACGCCTAGGTTCCCGACCAAGCCCATGCCGGCTCGAGTCCCAGGTCAGCCTATGAGTTTGGGCGTCCCCCATTTACAATTGTGTGTCTGGGAGATTCACTCCAGCGACGTATGCAGCCATTGCATTCAATCTCATTCAATATCATTCAATATCATTTATTCAAATGAGAACGAGTGAGATAAAGTACACACTCGTCTCCATTCCTAAAATCAGTAATCATTCATAACAATTAAGCACGTATCAAGTACTCATACACTTGACACTCACCAAGTATTAAGTGCAAGTAAGGTCAAGGAAAGTTCAAGCGTCCACCGTGGGATCCTCTTGAAGGTCCTAATGTGCGCCTGAGCAAATAATAGTGCATTATTATTCACACAACCCAATTATCGAGAAATAATTCGTGCACTATTATAATCTAGGGAATTTTGTGAAAAGGAACCTTAATTACTTGTAAATCGAGGTTCGAGTGGCGTTTCATAAAGTACAGGAGCATTTGGGTTTTTATCTTAGAAATCGAGGTTAAAACGTTTGCATAATGTCGAAAGAATAAAGAGTTCTTGGAAAACTCTATTTTCTTGAAAGTTGGAAAATTTCAGTTTTGATATGGATCTTTGAAAAATTATATCTCATTTGATACAAGTCTAAAATTGGAAAACTTTATACCGTTGGAAACCTCTTGGAAAGTACTAAAAGTTCTTAGAAGACTCTTTTCCACGAATCTAAGTGAAAAGTACTCAAAAATGAGCTTGAAATCACTGTTCTAGAATGTTCAGGATTGAGCCGGGGTTGGTTTTTTTTCGCTAACTTTGGAAATTTGGCAGAATTCACTCGTTGCAAACCTGCCCTTGAAATTTATAAATCAATTAGAGGTGCAAGTAAGGTTTAGGACAGAACAAGCGGATCGAGAATCGGAGTTTCGAGCACCAAGATATGGTAGGTCAAAGTTGGGGAAAATTCAAGACTCTTGAACAATTTCCAGATTTGGGTTTCCGACTTTGGACCTTTAGTTAACTATCAAAACGGACTTGGATTGGTACCAAATTTTGTAGTATAGTACTCCTATATGAAGGGTATCTCTCTATCAAATTTCGTGGAAAAATACCTTCGGGAAGGTGGTTAACCAATCAACCAAAGTTTTGAAATTACTAAGGCAAAACTGCCTTTAGCTCCATTTCTCTCCGTTTCCAAACATTCGGCTAAGGAAAACCTCCAAACATGGTTCATTTGTGCAAGCAAAGTCTAAGGAATATACATGGTACATTTGGTAGGTGTTTAGCACCAAGAAATTCATTTAGTAAGACCACAACAAGTCTCACATCAAAACTGTCCAAATCCAAGGGTTTTCAAGAACAGGGCAGTCACCGTATTTTGATCATGACTCACTCAATTTAACTCAGAATTGAGCATGGTTGATAGTGTTGGAAAATACATTCATAGGGCGCTATAATTTCACAGAATAAATCATTTTAAGATTCAGCATGCAACTGGCTCGAAATTAAGCCTAAAGTTGCAGCATCATCAAATCGTTCCAGCAGAACAGAGAAACAGGGCAGCCTTCTTAAAACGATTGGTTTGGCTCACACACTTGGAACCAGAACATGCATTTTATACCGTTGGAAAGGTGTGGATATCTAGTTTCAAATGCCACTGACGACACTCAATTTTGACGTCGGAGGACAGAGTTACGGCCGAAACACTATTGCTGGACAGAGCTACACGGAAACAGTTTTCCAGCTTGACTAGTTTCACAAAGAAATTCATTTGCCCAACCAAACCTCAATATTTTCCAATGAAAATTTTTACACAACTAATACAACATATAAAAATCATATTCAAGCCATTAGATCATAAAAAATTGGCCTTAAAATAACCGAACAAGTCAGGGGCAAAATCAGAGATTTCTACCCCATGAGTTCCTTGAAGTTTCTACTAATTATACACCATTAATCCACCATTTCAAACACTAAACCAACATTATAAATATCATCAACCACAAAATCAGTAACAACCTAAGAGTGGGAGTTCATAGAGCCCACTTTCCAATTTTTCCAACAATATCAAGTCATCCACTTACATGCAAGTGCTTAGAGATGCATTTCTACTACCATAAATCAAGTTTAAGGTGTTGGACCATGGTATACCTTCTTGGTGTTCTTAGATCAGAATTTTCGGCCCTTCAAATGCTCCAAGAAAACCGTGAAAGCTCTCCTTCTTCCTAGCTAAATGGTCTCTCCAAGTGATAGGCTAGGTGTAGTTCAAATTTGGTGGGATTTGAATGAGTTTTTGTGAAGATTTGTGAAGTAAAATTGAGAGAGTAAATGTTAGTTTCTCCAATGCTGCTGGCCGAACCAAGAGAGAGAGGAGGGAGAGTGATTTTGATCAAAATTGGTTTTCTTGAGAAGCTACAAGCTTGTGGCCACAAATCACCCATAAGTCAACTCTTCATAGGGTGCGTTTGGCGCGATTAGGGCTCGATTTTCTCTCTCGTTTGGTTCACTAGTGCACTAAACCTCTAATGCACTTGTAATCATATAAATATTATTCACTCTTAATTGTCCCGAAATAAGGGTCTAAAGTCCCTCAAATAAAGTCGCGCGTGTGAAAACGCGTACTGTCCATCTGAACGCTATGACGCGAAACCTTCGAAAAATTCTTATAACGATTATACTACTAACTATCACTTGAGTACTTAAACATAAAATTACCTATTTTAGGACTATTGTACAAGTCTCCAATATTCCAAGTTTATCGTGCTCTCAAGCAGATAAAATTTTCAAGCACTATTCACTATTTTCACTAAACACGCTTCCGGAAATTAATTTTTGAAACGAGACACTATAAAATTATAACGAAATTATAATAAAATATATTTAGGTCCAATAAGACTAGAAAATATTATTCGTGGCAAAATCCAAATAAATAATTAATCGAGCCAAAATTAGGGCTTAAAAATAATAGTTTTTACGAGTCCTCACAGGATGGTTGTCCACTTTCCAATTAGTGAAAAACTCGGACGACTTTCATGACGTTTGTGGATGGCTGACTTTTCTAAATCCAAATCTAGCGCTTTCAACAGAATGAAACTTGTGCGGTCTCTGCAAAAATGAAGGTACCAATAATCGCTAAAGTGGGGCTGGGACATTCTATTTTTCATTGGTTACTTCAAAAAAAAAATTGAAGTTTGAAGTTTCGACTAGAGATGGTTGTCCACTTTCCACTGCTAGTTTGTTTTTGTCGTTTTATCTACTGTAATTCCTCAGTTGAGAAAACTTGGACATTTCACTTAAAAGACGCTCGGATTCAATTCACTAGCACAAATTTTGGCCTAATTTCCAAGGATGATATACCTCCGAAATGGATAAATTAAGCGGTCCATTTAGTGAAAAACTCGGACCACTTTCATGATGTTTGTGGATGGCTTGACTTTTCTAAATCCAAACCTAGCGCTTTCAACTGAATGAAACTTGTGCGGTCTCTGCAAAAATGAAGGTACCAATAATCGCTAAAGTGGGGCTGGGATCATTCTATTTTTCATTGGTTCCTTAAAAAAAAAAGAATTGAAGTTTGAAGTTTCGACTAGAGGATGGTTGTCCACTTTCCACTGCTAGTTTGTTTTAGACGTTTTATCTACTGTAATTCCTCAGTTGATAAAACTTGGACATTTCACTTAAAAAGACGGTTGGATTCAATTCACTAGCACAAATTTTGGCCTAATTTCCAAGGATGATATACCTCCGAAATGGATAAACTAAGCGGTCCATTTAGTGAAAAACTCGGACGACTTTCATGACGTTCGTGGATGGCTTGACTTTTCTAAATCCAAATCTAGCGCTTTCTACTGAATGAAACTTGTGCGGTCTCTGCAAAAATGAAGGTACCAATAATCGCTAAAGTAGGGCTGGGATCATTCTATTTTTCATTGGTTACTTAAAAAAAAAAAGATTTGAAGTTTGGAGTTTCGACTAGGATGGTTGTCCACTTTCCACTGCTTGTTTGTTTTAGACGTTTTATCTACTGTAATTCCTCAGTTGATAAAACTTGGACATTTCACTTAAAAAGACGCTTGGATTCAATTCACTAGCACAAATTTTGGTCTAATTTCCAAGGATGATATACCTCATAAATGGATAAATTAAGTGGTCCATTTAGTGAAAAACTCGGACAGCTTTCATGACGTTCGTGTATGGCTGACTTTTCTAAATCCAAATCTAGCGCTTTCAACTGAATGAAACTTGTGTGGTCTCTGTAAAAATGAAGGTACCAATAATCGCTAAAGTGGGGCTTGGATCATTCTATTTTTCATTGGTTACTTAAAAAAAAAAGGAATTGAAGTTTGAAGTTTCGACTAGAGGATGGTTCTCCACTTTCCACTGCTAGTTTTAGGGTTTGAATTTTGAATTTAACACTTGAGTTTGGAAAGGGTATAAGAAGGAGTGGAAGGTAAGAGAGAGAGAGAGAGAGAGAGAGAGGAGAGAGGGGGGGGAGGAGTGGTCCACAAAAATAGAAGATGCGTTTTAGATGCTTCGGTGGTAATAATCTTTGGCTAATTGGCATTCCTTTGATAAACTCGGTCTAGCCAAAAGTCATAGTTGCAAGCTAATGCTACGTTGCCTGTTCAAAGTAGCAAGGATTCTTATTTCAGCCCTCCAAGCTCAAAAGTTCTGTAATTTAGGGCCATAATCAAATTGCATCCATCATCTATTTGCTGACTAGTCAATAAGAGTCTTTATTCTCAAATGCATGTTTGAAAGGATTACAAGGATATTATACAGACACCAAAAAGTAAAGTGATAGGAATTTAAAGGATTACAAGGATACCATCATTATTGGTAGCTTGATGAATTGACCAACAAAACCAAATCCAAAACTAATCAGATTACCTCAGCGGGGATTAGAATCCCCTGCCAATTAATTCTATAATAAAACAAGTCATAGTCCACTAAACTTACTAACTGGATAATGTTTGTGAACTTGCTCCAACATGCTTCTTTGTCCTGAACGGTCTGTTGGCTTTGGGAACACCTCTGGACATTTTTCACGGATATTGAAGGAAAGAAATTACAAGATTGGGGGTGTCAAACTTGAAAAAAATGATCCTTTGGGAAAATTAATTTACTTTAGTTGTATCTCTATTTGTTTCCTTAAAGTCCACTATCGTTGCATTTCAAACCTTAATCAGCGCTACAACTTGTTAGTATGTGCTATATCATCTAAAATATATACAATTTTAGAATTTTATTTAACAATTCATGATGATACTCATATATTCGCAGAGAAACTAACAAAAAAAATCCATTGTGGTTTCTTTATTTCTTGTTGCTGTACCAGACTCCCCTCGAAGACCGCATTTTGCTAGGCTGGATGCATTGTAAAATTGGAGAAAGAAGCTGTAACTTTGTCTCCGTTGTGATCTATGTTGCTGTCTGAAAAGTTGTGCAAGCTCAAGTGTTATATATATCATTAGGGGTGCATTCGAACCGATTCGAGTTCGAGTAGTGTCAGGCTCGAAATTGAACTCAATCATTGTTAGTGCTATTTGAGTTCAAGCTCAAACTCAAATGAGTAAAGATTCTTAAGTTCAAATTCGACTCAACCAAATAGTATATAAGTTCAAGCTCGATTCAATTGAGTTCACAGATCCTTCTGAGCCATTCGAACTTGAACTGAATTTTTTAGTGGAAAATTTCACAACTTCTATACTTATAAGTGTAACACACGCACATATATATTACTTTTAAATTTTAAAAACCTAATTTCTTGAATAAGTTCGTCGAGCATTTGAGCCTCATTCTCTAAGGCTTGTGCTCAACTCGATTTGACAAAATGAGTTACTCAAACTCGAGTCAAACCATTGATCGAACTGCCCCCGAGTAGCTCACTTGTAGCTTGAATCTCTAGCAGACTACATATGATTGAGAAAATTGACGGTTTGTGATTCTATTGGGACAAAGACTTAAAAGGATAAGGCTACGTAAACCGTATGAAAAGTTCTTTTGTAGCTGCTGTTTTATTGACCCCATATATCATAAATTAAATTAGACTTGAAAGACTTGTAGGGGTCATCCACTCTTTTCTGTGGCGTCCTTTTGTCACACCATATTAGATGCTTGTAGACTGAAGGAATCTGTCCTAATTTCTTATTCTGGAGTCTTGTGCTTGAAAGAGAGTTAAGTGAAAGCTTTTGAGGTTAGCTCAAATCGTCATTGAACAAAAATTGTAATGTCACTTCTCTTATGAAGTTATTGGGGATTTTGTATTCTTAATTTCTTAGTACACATATATATTTGGCTATTAGATGTAAAAGCATGGGGTTAAAAAGAAGGAAAAGAAAAAGGCTCCATCAGCCCATTTGTGTTCATGATAAATTGGCAGATGTGGGATCATATTGATGATGGTATTAAGGTGTAAGATCTATTAAATATCTTCAACCGATTGTTTTAGAAGTATTGTCGGTTGTAATTCCGCAGTTGATAAAACTTGGACATTTCACCTAGAAAGACGCCTGGATTGGATTCACTAGCTCAGATTTCAGCCTAATTTCCAAATATGATACACATCCAAAATGGATAAATTAAGCGGTCCATTTAGTGAAAGACTCAGACAACTTTCATGGCATTCGCGGATGGCTGACTTTTCTAAATCCGAATCTAGCGCTTTCAACTGAACGAAACTTGTGCGGTCTTTGTTAAAATGAAGGTACCAATAATTGCTGAAGTGGGGCTGGGATTATTCTATTTATCATTAGTTACTTGAATCTTGGATCTCACAGTTGAGATTGGAAAGGATATGGAGCAGGGTGGGAGGTGAGGGAGAGAGAGAGAGGTGGGGGACGGCGATATTTTGGTGGTAGTCTTTGGCTAATTGGCATTCCTATGATAAACTCGGTCTGGCCAAAAGTCGTCGTTGCAAGCTAATGCTACCAAAAGTCATTGTTGCAAGCTAACGCTACATTGGCGTCCAAAGCAGCAAGAACTCCTAATTAAGTCCTCCAAGCTCAAAAATTCTGTAATTTGGGGCCATAATCAAATTGCATCGATCATCTATTTGCTGACTAGTCAATAAAAGTCTTTATTCTTGAAAGGAGTACAAGATATGATACAGATATTAAACAGACACCAAAAAGTTAAGTGATAAGTATTTAAGTGAATACTAGTATTTTGACTGTGGTGCTTTTCTAAATCCAAATCTAGCGCTTTCTACTGAATGAAACTTGTGCGGTCTCTGCAAAAATGAAGGTACCAATAATCGCTAAAGTAGGGCTGGGATCATTCTATTTTTCATTGGTTACTTAAAAAAAAAAAGATTTGAAGTTTGGAGTTTCGACTAGGATGGTTGTCCACTTTCCACTGCTTGTTTGTTTTAGACGTTTTATCTACTGTAATTCCTCAGTTGATAAAACTTGGACA